TCCTCTTCACAGACTGCTGAGTTGAGATTTGGTGGATCGGACAGATTGAAGGCTGCCAGTGCTTCTCGCCGACAGCACGCTGATGTATTCTCACACTTCCTCCAACCTGTTCTCTACAGATGAAAATAATGTTGTCACTTTTTCTTTTATTTGAAGAAAACCTAAAGCCCAGCTCATGACTGTGGAATAAATGGCACTGTGCACTCTTGCTTTAACAGAAATAAAAGGATGTAACATGTGTTTAAGGGGAGATGCGAAAGGTGATTATAGTTTTTAAAAAAAGATTATATTAATAAAATTAATTACCCAAATATATATCATCATGAAACTTATCTGGTTGATTAGTTACTTTTTTTTACAATAAGACAACTATTTCATGTATTACAAGTTTTCTAAAATGGTATGTTTTAGTATGCAAATGAAGCATTATCTAACGCTAACTTGTGGTGAATTTAGGAGAAATCTACAGACGCGAATAGACAAAGTAGTAAAATAAACATATACATGTTTTCTTTCCACTAGTCTGGAAAAAAAGACATGTCATGAAAGCTAAATAGACCCAAATCTCAAAATTCTTAACAACAACACCTACTTTATAACATTATACATTTATGACTAAATAAGCAGCAATTGGGTGTTTAACACTCAAAAATATGTGCCTGCTTCATCAGGACTGTGTGGGTGTGTTATTTAACACGATTCACAACAACAATTCACCAACAGTCTTCAGATTCTGACTCAAATGTTGCTGAAAGCTAATTGGTGCAAAGAAGTACGTCACATCGCTTTTTCCAGCTCGGCCCCGCCCACTTCAAACCAGTAAAAATAGCACGAACAAAAAAATGTAATTAAATACAGGGATCACCGTCAATGTGAAATAACTAAAACAGTTTGAACTAACGTAAAGTGTCAATAGGAACCCGTCACTCAGAGTAAGTTGGTGTTGTCTGATGGTCTGATTGGCTCATTCCAGGTGAAAAAAAATAGTTCCATTTAGCTCCTGAGCTGTGCATGCATGGATCGGAGTCATCATTAATGGCGTTTGTATCACCTGTGTTTTATCCTGACCCATTTCCTATGACGAGCCAAAATGAAATTAACGTCACTAATGGCTGCATTCTATTCAGGTTGTTTCAGGACGCTGCTGTCGTACTGGTCTGGTTTAAATGGTATGGGTAATGAATGAAATGAATGATGACCCTATTCCAGGGGTCACTAATAGGCGGACCGCGGTCCGGATCCAGACTCAGAAGAATAATAAGCCTAAGAGTCCAATATGATCAGAATCCTAACACATTAATTCACTGACCAACAATGATGTAAACAGAGATAATAGAGCTGAAACAAGTGGTTTAATAACCACAGATAAAGATCATGCACAAACATTTCTCTTGTTAGAAGATGAGAAAAATGTAATATCGTGGCTTTTTTGGTTGACATCACTTCACCCTGAATGAACTGAATTTAAAGCTGCAGGACAATTCAGTGAAATAGATTTTTCTAAAATGAAGTACTTTATTTTAAGATGCACATTTTTCAAAAGCTTTCTGTTATATCAGTTATTCTTTAATCCAGACCTTATTTTACTTGAAATGAGAAGAAAATGAATTTATGTTTATGTATTATTTATAATCCATTCATTTCAATTTGAAAACTGAGAATAACAATTGTTAAAACATAATTGATGTGTACTTTATTTGATTTGACAGTTGACTACACAGAGGCGTTGTTACTACTACTAGGCTTCTTGAATATATATATATATATATAGATAGATAGATAGATATATATATAGATAGATATATATATAGATATATAGATATATAGATAACTAAATAGTGCAAGTTAGATATTATTGTAATGTTCCAGACCTTTGCCCTTTCTCAATCTGGACCTTTTGGAAGTTTAATTGAATACCCCTATTCTATATAGTGTGTCACAGTCATACCTGCGAGCCAGGGCTCTGGCCAACCTAAATGGAACACGGCCGTAATTAATGTTATTAATTACACCTGTGTTAGCCCTGTAATGACACAGCAAAACGGTTGTGAAAAGGGACCGTTGCTGTGTAACGGGCATTGCTGACTTTATCACTGTTTTCACCTTACACACTGTTTTAGTAGTGAACATCATCCTGTAGTTCAAACACATATTCAACTTCTAAGCAGAGGTCTAACTATCGCCATGTTTTTCGTGATCATTTTGGGAGAGGGGCTTTGGAGGGAGTGCTGCAGACTTAGCGACTTTCTCACTTGACTCAGCGACCTTATGAGCTAGTGCTGCTAGCTGCTCTCATTGGATTTATAAAATCTAGCGTACCATTGGTAGTTTGTTAAGATTACCATCCCTAGCTTTGAGTTAACATTTTGAATCCTTCTTCCTCTACTGGTCCAGCGGACGCCGGAGAAGTCTGATTAGACATCAGACACAGGAGATGGGTTTTCTGGTCACCGAGTACCGTTGAAAGTACCGTACACCCGTTTCAACAACAACGACCGTATTCATTGTTGGAACAGGATCTCCTCATCATCATCATCATCCAACTCTTGGACTGTGTTCCTGTTTTTTCCCCTCTACTTAAGAAAGAAAGAAACTTAGATTCACCTCCACTTCTTTATTTCCTTTTCTTCATTACAAAAACATCACATTGCCCACATTTATTTATCAACATTTTTTTCTGGGGGACGCCAACTCTGTATCAAATAGGGGACTCCCGCTCCCTCCAACACATCTGATGCACCAAACAGGAAAACACACTGGCATAGTTAGTAATGTTCAACGGATCAGTGCTAATGCCAATGTTTGGTTTTTCTTCAGCTGTTCATGTTAACTAACTGCTTTTGTTACAAGGTGAAATGGGCATCGAGCGAAAAAAGAGGAATGTACAAAAAAAAAAAAAAAAAAGCGCAAGACAAAAATTGTCAAATCAAACCCCAAATCCATAAGAAAAAAGAAATAAAAGTCCGAGCTCACTTGGAAAACACTAGCATGTTGGACAACAAGAACACAAATCTCACAGGAAGATGAAGTGCAATGATCAGTAGCTTTACAGCCCTCAGTAAAAGAGAATCTGTCGGTGGGTGTTTGTCCTCGGTGATCTGTGATTTCTCGATTTCTTCCATTTCGCAACGCGGACAAACTGCATGTTTAAACTGTCGATTGGATTCTTGAACTGCAACGCCATGTTTAAAGTCTGATTTGATGCATCATCGAATGACTCCTTGGGGGGAGGAAAAAAAAAAAAAAAAAAGAGCTTCGTCGGTGTCGTCTTAATTTTCTTCCTCTTATTTTTTCGCAATTCTGTAGAGAGAGAGGAAAGCAAACAGTTATTACAAACACATAAAGTCTGATCTTAGTCACATAAAAAAGGTTTTAATCATGCATTTTAATGCACAACAAACAATGTTAATTTGGGCAAAGAAACACAAGAGAAACTCATGACAAATGTCTTAAGGTTCTGGACGACGCACACCTTGGCTCATGAACACAACACAAGTCACTCAAATGTAATGGCACAACCAGAACCACGGGTGTTAAGACCACAACGGAGGGATTACCACAGTGCTGGTATGGCTATGACCACGGTGGGATGAGTGAGAGGCAAACCAGGAGGAGGGAGGGGTTGGGGGAGGAGGAGGGAGGACGGCAAGTACATGTGAACACTCGGGAGTTAGAATGATCGAGCACCACACAGCCATGCACGCGGCCAGCCATTATGAAAATGCACTGAGGATGCAGACTATGAGGATGCCCTTACTTCAGCCTGGAAGCCCGACTCGTTTGTTACAAATGTGGGAGGGGGGAGGGGGGCTTTATCGTAGGCTCCTATACTTTGCCAACCTACTACTTTGCTCTGCGGCAATCCTGGAAAAAGGAGTACAGAGACAGCGAGGTGTGGATAAAGGGGTTACAAAACTACATAAAGACACAGGCATCAGCTGCAAAGGAGAAAAGAGACTAGCAGGAAAGAAGAGGGAGGTGGG